CCAAGTGTTGTCTGTATTTTGTTTGCCACAGGACTTGTCATGTCTCCCTTCCTGCGTATTGGTTTATCCAACTATGACAGTGGCCCTTACCTGCCTTCCCAGGGGGAGGTGATTAACCCTTACTGTGCTGTGATGGTCAAAGAAGCTGTGGAGTCAGGTAAGTGAGGGGGTTAAATATGCATGGGAGCTTTTAGAGGACGTGTGTGTCTTTCTATGTCTTTTCTGGTATGTAGGCAGCACATTGGTAAGTCATAGGACTCATCCTAGAATGGTTTTGCTTGGAAGGGATCTTACAGATCATCTAGTTCCAACCTCCCTGCCATCTCCCTTTATAAAGCTTTGTGAAGTCCTTTTTGTGTCTCAGCATAGTCTAAGTTTGGTTTTGTCATGGTCTGCAAGACAATCTGATTTTACGATGATGTCCAACAAATCAATCTTCAATTTGAGGTTATTATCAACTCCATTACAAGTCCCAGCATGTGACAGAGCAGATGAGCTGAGCTGTATTTGGTTTCACTCTTCTGTGAGCAGTTGTTGATTTGTCAGTGAGACTCCAGACAGATGAAACCTGAGTGTACTAAAATATCCTGGCAGGACTGTCCATGTTTATCATGGTTTTTTAGGGAACTGACAGGTCCAGCCACTTCCATAGTTAATAAAAATGGCACTCAAACAGTCCAGTCTTTGCAGAGTTAATTTCTCTGTGTAGTTGCTGTGCTGTGTGAAAGGTTTGAAAGTGAAACCTCTTGTGAAGCTGTTTTCTCTGTCTGGATAAATGGATTGTTGCTCACTTTTCCTGATTGATCAGCACTGATGAATCCTCATCGGGAAAACATTTCTTATATGCCTCATGCATGAAAATAGTCCCAGTGAGAGGAGGAAAAGTACTTCAGTTCTGCTTTTGAAGAATCATGAAGAGCAAAACCTTCAGTGTTAGGGAATTCCTCATATCATAGAATCATAGAATCCACAGGGTTGGAAAAGACCTCCGAGATCATTAAGTCCAACCCTACCATAGTTACTTACATTAAATCTTTGATAAATTCCTAATTTGACTGCTGTGAATCTTTAAAAAATTGAACCCACTCAGAAATCCCTGCATATGCCTTGAGAATCCTCTTGGCTCTAATCTCCAGAGGATGCTAAAGCATTTTATGAAAGGAAGTTTTAGCATTTTAGTATGATTCAATATTTCACTGAAGTTGTTTGTTTATTTGTTTTAAGTCAGCATTTATTCCATTGAACTTTATCTTGGCTTAAGTCTGACAAATAATGGAAGATGTGGTGACTGGTAAATGCAAAAGGAAAGAAAATACTGCATGACAAAATATCCCTAAGATCTGCCTTTTATCAGAAGCTATGTCCTATTTCAGCTCTGTGCAGAGTTTTGCTGTTTGCTTTAATGAAGCCTTTGAACTCCAACTGAAGTTTGTGTCGGTTCAAAAGTGAAGAAAATCAATTTGTCCACTACAGATCTATATTTATTTGTCCTACACAGAGCTGAAATTGTTTTCTGGTATCTAACAAACACAAAAATACTAACTTAGTTTTTGTGTTCCTAAGAGTCAATAATAATAATTATAATGATTATAGTCATAATTATTATTATAACAATATATCTACCAACAAGAATGAAGGATTGGCTATAGCCTTGAGCAACCTGCTCTGGTGGGAGGTTTCCTGCACAGGGCAGGGGATTGGGACTAGATGATCTGTAAGATCCATTCCAACCCCTAAAATCTGTGATTCCCACTCACTTGGTAAAGAGGTATTTTATGGCAGAATCTTTAAAAACAAACAAACAAAAAACCCCACACCTCCCTACAGCTAAAAGTGTTCTAGCAGTTTATTGCAGATGACAAAACATTTCAGAAATCGTTATGTGCCTCTGAGGTATAAAAAAATCTGCCCTTTAAAAGCAGCTTTTGCCTTCACATACCACTTGGCCTGGTGCCGTTTTACCACCTGCCTTGGTGACATTTGCTTCATGAAAGATCCTGCTCCGTGTTTGAACTCAGCAAGCCTCCAGGAAAAGCTCTCCCAGCTAGAGTAGAAGCTGCTCCCCAGGAAAGACAGTTGCTATTTGATTTTTTCAGGAACCCAGGGCTAGATTAATCCCTGGCAGAATTCCACAGCCATCAGCAGGGATGCACCAGGGGTGACTGTCTGATCCCATATATTGGGCAGTTCATTCACATTCCAGGGTTTGTTTGGTTAAGCCTGGTGTGCTGGAGTGCAATGCAAACCAAAGCACTTGTTTTGCAAGTGCTGTGTTTCACATCCGTGGGGGGTTCACTGATGTAGCAAAGAAATAATGGTCCTCACTGAGATTTCTCTTCTCTGGAATGGCTCATTTTTATGGCTGGTTTTGTGTGCTTTGTTGTAAGAGTGTATTTCATGGATATTTGTATTGAATGTATATTTGCAAGCTTGATGGGAATGAATTCAGCCTGCAGGCAGCAGTGTGTGAGTCTAGGAAATCTGCATATGTGAAGAGTCAGCCCCACTTAACTGATAGAGGTGGATTCACTTTAGACTGAGGTGATCTAAGCTTCGAGGAAGCTAAATTAAAACCAAAAATTTAGCTGCACAACCTCTTGCCACTCCAGGCAGGACAAGATTGGGAAGAGGTTTTATGCTGCAGGGATGATCTGGGGATCAGATCATTTTCCCCCAGGGCAGTGTTGGAGTCACCATCCCTGGAAGTGTTCAAATAAATGAGTACATGTGGTACTTAGTGATACGGTTTAGTGTTCGTGGTTGAAGGTTAGACTTGGTGATGTTGGACTTGGTGACCTTGGACTTATTTGAAGGTTGGACTTGGTGATCTTGGAGGTCTTCTCCAACCTTAATGATTCTATGATCTCCACCCAGACTGGTCCTGATGGTCAGAGCGTTCTGCAGCTCAGATCAAATTTGTGATGGAACCAAATGCAAACCTCTTCTGTGAGAGCCAAGTGTTGGGTCATGGGGTGAAATTTCAGCAAGCCAGTGCTGACTGCAGGACCCTGCATGTCTCTTCTCAGGGAGCTACATTCTCAGCCCAAATCTGTCTAGTGAGTGTGATTTATGTAGCAGCTCTGGCAATCATTTCTCCAGTGGTTCAAGGGAGATTTTTGCTATAATCTCAATTTTCTCTTTCCCCAGTAATATTTTTTCATTTCCTGAGGTGAATATTACACAATCAAGAATTCACTGTTTCCTTTATTCTCCTTCTCTCTTGCCTTCAATAACTTTGGAGCTTGTTTGCCAGTTTTAATCAATTCTGAAGGTGTGGCTCAAGCCTCAGAAATCCTGGAGTTCCTGCCCGAGTAATCCCAGCTGAGCTGAGGGAAGAAATCTCAGTTAGTCCTCCCATCTAGGGAAAAATTTTCTTCACCTTTCAGGCTATCAGCTGCATGGTCTCTTCCAGCTGGGTGGGATGAGGGAAAGGCTGGGATTACTGGAAATAGGAGCAGGGTCTTTAGGAGACAGGAGACACAGGTCTGCTGCTCACACAACTACTTACTCCTCCAGCTTGAGGATTTGATGGGTTGAAAATTTGCAGAGGGTAACTGTGATATAGAATTTACCTTGAGCAAGCATCCAAGTCTTTCACAGGGCTGTATGAAATGATCTGTGAGATCAATAAATCTGGCTGAGACTCTTTTCAGAGAGAACTAACTAGAGAGAACTCTCTGTAAGCTGATGCTAAGCCTCAGAGATACCCATTTTTTTACCCATCACCATTTTAAGATGCTGTGAAGGAAGAGGAATTAAGGCATGAGGAAGAAGTGCTTGGTTGGAAACTCTACATCCCTGTGGAATGGTTGCAATGTCTGCAAGACAGTTCATGTATTAACATCCTTCAGTTAGCTACTGACTGGACATGTGCTCCAGCTGAATCTTAATTTCAAAATGCACCCAGTTTTCAGGGGGATTGAAGGAAACCTGTCTCATTTTGCATTGCCATGGGACAGATGATACACAGATCTGGTTATCTGTGAAGAGATTCACCTGATTAGAAGTAAGTATCTGTGGTACTGGGGTCTACATTTGAGGTCTACTCAATAGAGCTGATGGAGTCACGGGTAGAAATTACTTTTCTGTGGTAGATGTCTGTATTTGATCAACTGAACCACCCTTACTCCACTGATTTATATGGATTATATCTAGTGGGAGGTTTCCCTGCCCACAGCAGAGTGCGTTGGGTCTAGGTGATCTCTAACATCCATTCCAACCCCTTAACATACTATGAAACTATATTCACTGGCCCTGAATGAAATCAATGTTCAGACAGCTCAGGGATGTCCATACACATTGTAGACATCTAAATTTAAATGAGATGAATCCCATTCTAGGTTTCACTTCACCTAGGAACCTCCTAGGACACTCTAATGCCATGGCAGGAGAGAGACCTTGAAGTGGGTAAACACAGATCTGTTTCAGGGACTGTAGAGTAGTGGCCTTACTGCAGATGAGAAACAAGTTCAGTCAATCCAAACCACTTCTTTTTGACAGAGAATGGCCAAGTGTACGTGCAGAAGAAGCCCACGATGTACCCACCCTGGAACAGCACTTTTGATGCTCATATCAACAACGGGAGGGTCATGCACATCGTCGTCAAGGACAAAAGTGCCGAAATGGTTTCAGAGACCACAGTGGAACTCAAAGTGCTGGCAGAGAGGTGCAAAAAGAGCAATGGGAAGACTGAGATATGGGTGAGCATCATTATCTTCTCTTGCAGGATGCAATGGGGAGCTGCTGTAGGGTAGGGGAATGCCTTGTGTCCGTGCCAAGCTGTGACTGTCACTACCAGGGCAGCAGGAACTGGCTGCCACCCAAGCAATAATGTTTTGTGTCTACTTGGGTATGACTTGAAGGAAAGACTTGTCAGAAAACAAGAGCATGGCACATTTCTATTACCTGCTGCTGCTTATGTTGAAACATGCCCTGTGCTAGTGAGGATCCTGGGTCAGGTGAGCTGTGCCAACATAATAATCTTTGCTGAAGAAACCCACTGGGAACAAATGGTGATATGAGTGGCTAAACATGAGTTATTTTATGTTCTCTGGGGAAGCAGCTTTAAAAATTTAATCTAATGTCAAGTAACTGATTCACAGGTGCCTGACTTTAGAGTTATGTCAGAGGAACTCCTTTAAAATCACTGGAGTTATAGCGGAAGAAATTTGAAGTAACTGTCTTTACAAGGTTGCTAAATGTAAGGTTATGTTTCCTAGCAGGCCAAGCAAGAAAGTTCTTGATAACAGTCAGTTATACTGTAGTATTCAGTAGCCATGAATGATAATAAAGTGGAAATACAGTTGGAAAGAAACTGACTTCCTGGAATATTTTGTTTGTTTGTTTTATTTCTCATGCTAATTCTCAGGCTAAGCTGCTTGAGTTAAGCAGACAGTAGAAAAGTTGAAGGCCTTCATCACTTAGCAGACTTAAGACCAAGATTTGGTAAAGATCTGTGCATAGCACATAACTTTGAAGGAATTTTGATACTTAGGGATGGAATTGAAAACTAAAAGGCACTGCTCATCACAATTGCAGCCTCAGGCTCCAAGTCACAGGAGGCAGCAGCCTGGTGAGGAGCAGAGGGTGCTGCTTACTTGCAGCATGGGTAGAACACCTCTGAGGTCAAGTGGATTTGGGAGATCTTGGTCCTGTTGTGTCCCAGCCTGGTAGTATCTCCTGAGATCTCTCCACTTTCTCCCTGACACAAGTTACCACCTGGTCCCAGGTATCCAGTCCTCCAAGGGTCATGAGGAGAGGCAATAGCATTTTTCTCACTTATCCATGCTCAGGCTGTGCTGGAGTTGTGTTGGGAAGGCACAGCTGTAGCTCTGAGGATGAAGAAATCCTTGAATGTAGGTCCTTTTGTATCTAGGCAAGAGGATCCAGATTTGCAAAGGCACTTGTGGACAGCAGTTTGGTTAAGTGGGAATTTCCATATCCAGTGGGAAGGCCCAAAAAATGCCAGAGTAAGCTTGTAGCATCACTCACATTGATTGTAATCACTCACATTGACTGTAATGAAGTTAGACTTGCAGAACTAAGTGTCTATTTCAGCATCACCTAAAGTTCTCTGGGTTTTTTGAAGTGCTCCCACTTTCCCCTTGCAGGATCCACTGGGAACAGGTTTTCTCTCTAGATTGTCCTGGTCTTGATCTGGTGTCTAAACTCCTGCCTACATCTTCTGTGGTTTAGTCACAGTTATCTCTTCTGTCATGCTGCTCTGAGTGATGTATACGAGGTGATCTACCCTCTTCTCCCTATAGTTGCTCCTACCCCAATTTGCCACCCCACAAGGGTAGGAGCAACCTGCAAACTAGGATTCATTGGCATTCAGTAATTCCCACTGGGAAAAAGAGAGAGCTTGAAGTCATCTGAAAGGATGAAGTCATCTTGAAATGATTGCTGCCTTCAAGTCATGTGCAAAGATTGTTCCTGCTTCGAATGGCTGTTTAATGGTCTTCTTTTCTTGTTTTTCACTTATCTCAACCAGCTAGAACTGAAACCTCAAGGGCGAATGCTGATGAATGCAAGATATTTCCTGGAAATAAGTGGCAAGTGATTTTGTTTGTTAATTGATTGCTGTGATTTCGGCTATGTGGGGCAGATGTGGTGTCTTCACTAAAAGCAATGCCTGTGCTATTACAGAATGAGTCATAAGAATTAACATAACTGAAATGAAACCTCTAAAAAGCAGTTTTTATTGTGTGGTGGGGATGAAGGTGGACTGTTCTTCTGGGATTTGCAAGGCAGGTTTTGGCTGCTTTATCATTAAAATAGTAAATTTTTCCCATTATGCTAAGCAAGACAGAATAGATACAAAAGGAATCATCTCCCTCTGAAATCCTTCTACCTCTATGTACTACAAGAAAGGCATTGAGGTGCTGAAGTGAGCCCAGAGAAGAGCAGAGGGGCTGGGGAAGGGTCTGCAGCACAAGTGCTATGAGGATTGTCTATGAGGACTGTCTGAGGGAGCTGGGGGGGACTCAGCCTGCAGAAAAGGAGGCTTGGGGGGACATTTTCGCTCTCTACAACTACCTGAAAGGAGGGTGTGGCCAGATGGGGCTTGGTCTCTTCTCCCAGGCAACAGGCAGTAGGATAAGATGAAGGGAAGGAAGGTTTAGATTGGATATTAGGAATAATTTCTTTGCTGAAAGGGTTGTTAAGCCCCTGGCACAGCTGCCTAGGGAAGTGGTGGAGTCACCATCCCTGGAGGTGTTTGAAAGCTATGTAGATGTGGCACTTGGGGACATGGTGTAGTGGTGAATGTGGCGGTGCTGGGTTAATGGTTGGACTCGCTGATCTTAGAGATCCTCTCCAACGTAAAGGATGTTCTGATTCTGTGCATGTGAGAAGTGCTGTGGTGTACACTGGAGTGCAGCTGTGAAGGCTGGGATAGAATTTACTGTTGACAACACCTAAGATACTTGTTAGCTGAGCTTTAAAGCCCAGGAGCAATCTAGTCAGATCAGGAAAATAACCTAGAGAGTGACCCATCTGATCAAATGCAGGTTTCTGCTGCAAAGTGAGCTGGGTCACTCACTGGGCACCATTGCCGGCTCCAACTAGACCTCCAGGGATGTGTCAGCACCTTAGTCACCCTGGACAAGGGCACACATGGGTCATTTACCTGTCTGCACTGGGAACCAAATCCCACCTGCAGAGTTCAATGTCCATATGAAATGCATTTTGCTTTGTTGAAGAAAATGGGTTGGATCCAAATGTTTAGTCTCATTTTCATCTCTTTGTTGCCAAAATTCTTGCACCCTCAGATGTTGGAATGGGCTGCCCAGGGAGGTGATGGATTCACCATCCCTGGAGGTTTTCAAGATGAGACTGGATGTGGCACTTAGTGTCATGGTCTAGTAACCACAGTAGGGTTGGACTTGATGATCTTGGAGGTCTTTTCCAACCTGGTTGATTCTATGATTCTATGTGAGGTCAAGCTGTAAGGTGCAGATATATAGAAGCATCTTTCATTTACAGAACTGTAGAAGCACTGAAAGCAACGACTAACACGTCCCTGCTGATATTTTCTGAACCATTCCTACCTTTAATATAGACTAGATTATCATTGTCTCCTTGTGTGTTATGTTCGAGAGGCTGAAGCATAGAAAATGCAAGTTGTGTTTGTACTAAAAACAGCCAGATCAGCATCAGCTCACACTGGGGGTCAGTGTCCACAGAATACCTATGTCACTTGCTGTGTAATGCATGAGTGGAACAAAACAGAGATTGAGAGGGAGATCCTGTGTGCATATCAGATTTGTAGACTCAAGCACATATATAAGTGCTCATGTGCATGTGTAGTCAGAATTGGTTTGTTTGCTGTTCTGAAAAGTTTAAAGGTGAAGGGTGAATCATGGCACGGACACAGCAAACTGCAGAGCAAATGTTGGCATGGAAAAACAACAAGAAAAAGAATGTGCTAGGAACATGCTAATCTGTTCACCTACAAGCACACATAAAGGACTCAGTGAAATAACCCCCAGGTATACACACACAGGTGTGTTTGTGCCCATATATAAGTAGTTATTAATGTTTATGTCATTTCATCTTTTTTAGGGCAAGAATCTTCAGTGCTATACAGAGTTAGAATTTTATGTTTGACTTCTCTCTCCTTGGGAAATTTCTGAACAATGTTTCAGAGCAGCATTATGAATATTCAAGGGAGCTTAGAGTCCCAAATTTCAGTCAATGACTGAAGTCATTGGAGTGTGGGAATGGTAGATAAAAACCATCCAAACAAGCCTTGTGCGGGTTTCATAAAATGATATTTCTTGAAGTATTCATTCCCATGAGTGAGTCATCAGTCACTTGGTGGCTATTTGGACAGCTGCATTTCCTCAAGGCACCTGATCAGGACAGGGTGCACTTACAAATCTTCCCTTTCCTTTCCCCCCAGATGCAAAGGGCTTGGCTGACTGTGAGACTGAAGGTTTCTTCTCCCTGCACCAGCGCAGGGGAGCCATCAAACAGGCCAAAATCCACAATGTCAAGTGTCATGAGTTCACAGCCACCTTCTTTCCACAGCCCACCTTCTGCTCTGTCTGTCATGAGTTTGTATGGTAAATGAAAATAGATCTATACTTCTGCTCCTTTTAACCCTAGGGACCAGTTCTGGTATCAAATGTGGTGCTTAAGAACATGTTTTAGTGGTGGATTTGACAGTGTTAGGTTTGGACTTGGTGATCTTAAAGGTCTTTTCAACCTAAAAGATTCTCTGAGGAATATCTGTGCTCCTGTTGTGAGTAAGGCAGCAGGATGAGACCCTTGACAGCTTACATGTAGTTATTGCTTCACTTCAAGGATGTGGTTTGCAGCTGTTATTCCAACTGTGAAAATTCCCTTCATTTTTCAGTTTATTATGTACAAATATCTGGGGGTTTGGCCAAATGCACAGATATTTCTCATCAGTCCACTTTGCTATTTGGATATTGTGAAATTCAGAATGTGACTGCTGGAAAGGCTGTGAAAACCACAAAGAATCTCTCTCTACCATTGGAGTGAAGATAGTTAAATTAGAGAAGCTCTATAAAGACTGATAAAAAAGCAAAGTGGTTTAATTTCACTTCTTTCATAAATGTTGCTCTCCTTTCTTCTGTTAAGGCTTTCAGACAACTCAGAATTAACCACTTCTCTCTTTATTTCAGGGGTCTGAATAAACAAGGCTACCAATGCAGACGTAAGAAACTTATTGGATTTTGTTGCTATCATTATTTACTTGATCCTTTCTTAAGGAGTTCCTTTATTAACACCATGCCATATTGTTGTTTCAGAATGCAATGCTGCCATTCATAAGAAGTGCATTGATAAAGTAATAGCCAAGTGTACAGGATCAGCAGTCAATAGCAGAGAAACAATGGTAGGTATTATTGTTTGGCTCGAGTGCCACTCAAATCTCTCCTACATCACTGTAAAACAACTCCTGATGAAGCAAAAGGTCCTCCTGAACTAAAGATGATGTGGTCTGATCTGTGCCCTTTGCTTTTTACATTCCCAGTGGTTTCATTACCTCCTGGGTATGATTTACTCAAATGCAGCTGCTGAATTAAGCAGTTGCTGAATCAGAACTGACATTTTTCTAATGTGTTGCCTTTGGTGGTGTGGCGACCTGGCTCAGGAACGGCACGGCGACCAACCCCAGGCCGCTCGAGCCATCTGCTCACACACACCAATGTGCTGGATGGCAAATGGTGTTTCTTGCTAAGGGCAAGGGGTTCTATGGCTCAGGTTTGACAACGTCACGTCCGTCTGCTTACGCTACAAACTAGGCTCATACACTACTGGCTATCAAAACTAGAGGGAAAGGGGCTCTATCTTTCCGTACAGCGCGATATCTTCCGGTCGCCAGACCCTAACTACCTACACTAATGCATAAAGTATGGCTCAGGGGGAAGTCATGGACATGAAGTAGGGATTTACTGGAGGTAATTCTTCATTGTCCAGTGTTAGGCAGCACATGACACTGAATTTTCAGAGCAGTGCTTGAACATCCCATTCTGTGTTATCAGAGATTTCCAAGCAGTCAGTGGAAGATCCCACATCTCCACTACTATTTGTTTCATTTTTCTCATATCAGTTTTTGATAAACCTCTTTGTTTTGGTTTTTATTTTGGTAGGAAAAACCAGAACTTAAACTCCTGATAGAGCTATTCCCTTTTTCTCAATTGTGTTCCACAGCTTCTCTTTGTT